GGTGTTCAACCAGTGTTTTGTGGGGGAGGGCGGGGCTTCCCCCCTTTTTGGTTCCCAACTTCGGTGGTTCTTTGGTTTTCCCCCGGCCCCCATTCCACCCCCCCAGGAGGTAAACGTGATATTTGGGGCCCCCTTATTTTGGGGGGGGGGGGGGGGGGGGGGGGGGGTTATCTACCGACTCATGCGTGTGTCCGCCGGCCCAACTTGTTGTTTTCAAAGCCGATCAGAGGGTGTGACATCTTTCACGTATCTATGCCACCTACGGTAAAGGGGATTGGGAGTATTGTATTGTAAGTGGTTGTTCAGGCCATCACAGGACGAAAACACAACAACAAACCAAGTGTTCACATCTATCTCGTAGTTCGTTTTCTCCCCGCGGGTCTAAATTGACTGCTTGCTGGTTTTCATCATCGACGGCCTTGCTGCTCAGGTTGATGTCGAGGTGTTCTCTGCCTACGAGTGCCGATCCCTCCCCCCAGAGCTCGGCAACGCGCACCCGGGAGACATCAGCGAACCGGGCCTCCTCTCAGCGGTGCCGCTGCCGCCTCCCACGTATGGCTCTGAAGCGTTTGACGGTCCGGTCATCGACGAGACCAAGCTCAGCAGGCTGCAGCTAGAAGGGGTGAGCCAATGTTTCGGACAGAACGGTCCCGGAGATATGAAAACGTCAAAATCGGGCCGAGGCTCAGTTTGTTATTCTCATCGCCACTGCTGTCGAGCACAGGTTATTGTTTGCAGTTTAGTGTAGGATCCACCTCCGAACGTGTGTTTCTTAGACCTACGTTTCTTGTTTTTCGTGAAAATTTGAGCCTCTGTTTCTTGACGTAATACTTCAAGTATTTCTTATCTGCAGGCCCGGTCTGTATTGGCTTGATTTAGGTACATAGTCTTCGCTGTGTGTGCTTGTTCGCTGGTTTTCTACACCAGACGAAGCAACAGCAAGGGTCAGGGGTTAGTGGGTGGCGTATTTTAGGTTGTTTTGATAATCTTGCTTATTGCACGCTGGACGTATGAAGGGCACCTGATGCCGAACATTTTTTATGGCGGCAGCAGTTTCCCCCCTATAGTACTTGGAAACTAAGGCGGTGCATACGATTGAGCTGTCTTCGGCGTACAATTGTTTCTATTTATTGCGCCATTGAACGCATACAACACACAGCTGAGTATTTCCCCGCCTGCTAGACTAATTATTTTGTTTCGCGGTTTCTCGGGACGATGACGGAGACAGGTCCTCTTCGCGGCTCAGAGGCATACGCACCTCCTGCCGGACGGGAAACGGGCAGGGTTCTTCATCGGCGATGGGGCGGGTGTCGGAAAGGGGCGGCAGATTGCCGGGATCATCTTGGACTCGTGGGCTAGGGGTCGGAAGAAGCACGTCTGGTTCAGTATCTCGAACGACCTAAAGCTGGACGCGCAGAGGGACTTGAAGGACGTCGGGTGCCACATCAACGTCATCGACGGCTGTCAGGTACCTATCGGTTTGTTCCTGCTGCTCCTGCTCCTGCTGCTGCTGCTGCTGTTTTTGGGCGTCATTTGTCTCCAGTACAGTAAGACGTCCCGAACTCTCCCCTGGACCTACCTCGGTATTCCGGTCGAACAGAACAAAGGCTAAGGCACAGATTACCGTGGAAAACAAACACGAATATGGTACAAAAAATCAAAGACCCTTGAAATATTGCTGGCTCTGCAAGAGGACCGATTTTTTTTTCCGGGAATAATACACAAGATACGTTTCTGTGGTCTAGGTGCACACGTCTATTTGAACGCGTGATAGCTGCCGTATCCGTGGGTGTATGGCTTGTGCGGAGCTGGAGGTTGTAGCGGGCGAGCGAGCTAGTGGATTGGGTTGGAAAAGGAAGTTTGCGTGATTGCCAGATTCCACTAGCAACGGTAGAGGCATGGCGTGCGGGCAAGGTGATTTGGCTTGTGGGGGCTCTGCAAGATGACCGTTGGATGTTCTTGGAGGGGTAGGCATCGTGTCGGTGTGCTTCCACAGCAACGAAGATCTGGAGGGCAGTTTACTTCATGTTACGTGAATGTTTGGTCGGCCTGTCTTCTCTCTCTGTCCCTCTCTGTCCCTCTCTGTCCCTCTCTGTCCCTCTCTCCCTCTGTCTCTCTCTTGTTCTCTTTCTCTCTTTCTATCTTGGGAGTCTTGACAGCAACGAGTATGTGCACTTCTTTCTATCTGTCTTCTACCCACCTACCTACCTACCTGCCTACCTGTGTAAGATTCGCTAAATTCTGCTGTATCGGCAGAGCCACGTTTAAGCTCTTGCAAGCGTATTCCCAACTGCTGACGGTGGGCAAACTGCGTTTGCGGTGTGCTTCATGTGTGTCCAGCTCGAGCATTCGTTGTCAACGAAGGAGAGGCAACCGCCGGAATGCTCCATGAAACACCAGGTGTAGATTCAGTCGGCCAAAAGCGGAAGCAGCAGCAGCATCAGCAGCAGACAAAAAACGTGCCATTATCTACTTCTTGTTGCCTTTGTCCGTGTGGTGCATGCAGGGGTTGGATGCCGCATCAAGCAAGGGCCTCGGCATGTCCAGCAGCTCCAAGCACGGGTGCCTGTTTAGCACGTACAGCACGCTCGCCAGCGGACGGCCCAACGCCGTCGGCAAGAAGACTCGCCTCGAGCAGCTCATAGACTGGTGAGCATCGATGTGTGTGTGTGGCAGTGCAGTAGATTAGCTGCTGTACATTCACATGATGTCCTAGAATTGTATGTGGTTTGCAAAGTTGATGTGTGTGCCTTGGGCACTCGTATGCATGATTTATGACGTTTATGCGTGTGGTGTGTGGATGCATGTGGATGGGTTGTGTTTCATTAGCATTAGCATCCTTCTGTTGTATTTCCTATTGAGAACGAAATATGTTGACCACGCTTGTGAGCGACACGTTCCTCATGCCCTATTCTCTCTCTCTCTCTCTCTCTCTCTCTCTCTCTCTCTCTCTCTCTCTCTCTATCTATCTATATCTCTCTATCCGAGTGTGTACTTGGAATAGGCCAAGCTTGTGTGTGCCATATGCATACATGTGAGCTTGTGCGTATTCCGAATCGGCGCAGTCGCATTTTTCTTGTGTTCCGTGCGTGCGTCCATTCATCTGAGTAGGAGTGAGATTTCGAAGTTCACACACGTGTTTTCAATGAAAGTATGCATCATATAGATTCCACGCGTGGATACTTCATTGTTTCCTTCATGTCCACGTGCAAGTACCATTTAGTCCAAGATGCCGAATGTTTTCCGTGCGGTGTGATGTAGGTGCGGAGGGAAGGATTTCGAGGGCTGCTTGGTGTTTGACGAGGCGCACAAGGCCAAAAACTTCAACTCTTCCAAAGAGGAGCTGTCTACCAAGGTGTCCCAGGCCGTCATCAAGATTCAGGTATGTGCGTGATGGAGATGGTAGCGATCATCGTGATGGGTCATGGTAGTTGGTCATTGAGGTTCATGTAAATACGTGATGGAGATGGCGGTGGTCATTGTGATGGGTCATGGTAGTTGGTCATTGAGGTTCATGTAAATACGTGATGGAGATGGCGGTGGTCATTGTGATGGGTCATGGTAGTTGGTCAATGAGGTTCAGGTAAATACGTGATGGAGAGGGCGGTGGCGGTGATGGGCCATGGAGTTGGTGATGATGACAGAGCGTTAATGCGGTGGTGGCTGTTGGTGTTTTTGTGTGAGTCTCGTCTC